TGGTGAGGGTACGAATTTCCACGGGGAGATCGTTCCACAGGGTCGGAGCTGCCACCGAGAAGGCTCTCCTCCGCGTAATACTGTTTAAAATATATAATTTAGGCTGAAATGAAATTAAATCTCCAGAATACAAACTTACATAAGCAATTTTGTAAAACCTTTCATTAAAATGTACATTTGTTGCATATTTGGTCAACTTCTTGGGGAAGGTGTTACTGACCAAATGACACATAGATAAGGAAGTGAAAGGGTTTTTTTGTTGTTTTTTTTTACAGAGAAGAATTCCATTTCAGAACTGGTTTGTGTGCACCTTAAACTATAAAGAAATCCATAGAAGATTTCTGTGGAGATCCCCAATCAGCCATTAAATCACTTACTATCTGTAGAGCCCCCATAAAGTCCCAGGGCCTTTTCTCTGAGAAAGAACCTTTCTAGATCCATTATGGAGTGGTCCTTCCTTACTTGCTCCTCACTCATGTTTTGAATGAGCCAGGACTTTTGGGCACAATTGAGAATTGTTATTGATATATAAATTTTATCAATCACATTGCAAAGGATTTTCAACCAAAGTAATAAAAGCTCATAACTGGAGCCCTTTTCCCGTGTTACAGAGACATTTTTACTACTTCATTTCACCATTAATGTATAAATACTCAAGACGCACAGGACAATTCTACACTTTCCTGCTGCTTTCAGATACAAACCCTGCTACAATATACTCTGTTGCTAAGTTATGCATTGTAGCACTTAAAATTCATCAGATGGTGGGCTGTAACATAAAGGGCTCCTAGACTTAAGGAGCATCTAAGCCATGATACTAGCATCGCTCCGTAATTTGATATAGTCTTCCACATACTAAGCTTAATACTCCTCTACAGCAATCTAATGCCCCTGAACCTTCTTTTAGATTCTTTTAAACTCTTATTTTATATATGCGTTCTTTCTTACTATATCTTCTAGTTTTTCATTATTTTTATGTATCTTCTATGCTTTTTAATTAAATGTAGTCCATGCTCCTTATGCTGTTGTATGATCAGGTGGGATTATGCTTTCTGGATGGGTCGGATATGATATGCATTGGTTCTGTCATGTTCTTAAATGTTACGTTTACATTGCTAGAACTTCTGAACCGAAAGGAAGTTTTATGGTTGCTTTAGGGAACAAAATGGATTTTCTCCACACATTTATAGTAATTGCCTTTGTACTTTTCTCACTCTCTTTATAGTTGGTGCTTTGCAGATTGCAATGGGAAGGAGAGCTGTGGTGATAGATAACACAGGATCTGGTCCCTTCCAAACTGCTAAGATGAAAAGTCTGTGTAAATATTTAACTTTTTCTCTAAAGGCTAAAATGGGATGGGAAACTTTGGGCCAGAAAGCACAACAATAAAATACATAAAGCTATAATTATCAATGAAACTTTAAAAATGCAATTATATAAAATACATTATTATAGTACAAATACCAGTGGCAACCATCAAAATTTGTGCTAAACCTAAACCCCAAGTAGGATAGGTGCAACAAATTATAGCACAAAATCAGATAATTGGGAAAGCTATGTCAGGGCCCTGACTAGAAGCAGTGACAGATATTATGCTCTCTACCAAGGTATTTCTTTAAAATGGAATAAATATATATCTTCCTTGATTCCTTCTAGAGAGAACAACAAAGAAGCACATGGCTTCCACAGAGCCACATGGACATAAGCACTGCTGAAAAGAGATGTGTATATACCGCCCCCCACAACTGTGGAGGATGTAGTACATTTAGGCCAGTGGTGGGTTTCAAATTTTTTTTGAACCTACTCTGTGGGTGTGGTCTCCTTTGTGGGAGTGGCTTGCCGGCCATGTGATCTGGTGGGAGTGGCTT